GACAGGTTTATGATGTTTGTAGTTAATAGATTTGGCTGCTTTTAGCCTTACCCTGGAGTTGGTCCACCCTCTGCCTATGGGCAAATGGATTACCATTTGTATTTAGTTTTACCACAAATTCCATGGTTAAACTACAGTGTAGCAAAACCATGGTTAATTTGTGGTTACCATGGTTTAACAACCGTTGTCTTTGGGAAACGTTTTATAATGATCAATTTCTAATGTTTTTATTAAATTGTAACCACGTTAAATACAAATTCAGTCCCATTAAACATATTTTATTAGGCTACATGACACCCATGTCTGGTTCATGATGTTTGTAGTTAATAGATTTGGCTGCTTTTAGCCTTACCCTGGAGTTGGTCCACCCTCTGCCTATGGGCAAATGGATTACCATTTGTATTTAGTTTTACCACAAATTCCATGGTTAAACTACAGTGTAGCAAAACCATGGTTAATTTGTGGTTACCATGGTTTAACAACAGTAACCATTGTCTTTGGATTTATAGTAAAACCATCGTTAATTTTTGTAAGGGTTGTGTTGTCTGCCCTAGCTCCCCCTAAACCTATTATAAAACGATATGATTATTTGTCTGCTACTACTCTAACATTACAATAGATAATAATATCCTTTATTATCCCTTACGAAAATTAACCATAGTTTTACTACAAATATGTGTAATAAGTCCAAATTATGTGCATTATGTACACAAGTATGCTAACTGTAAAAGGCTGAACATATAATACAAGTAATCTTCAACGTGTTTTACTTGTTTTCATAATATTGTAGAGAATTTAGAGTTTTAAGTCATGTGAATTGTTTGTTTACGCCAGCCTAACATTACCTGTTCATTAGGCCAACTGACACAAAACCCGGAAAGCATTTCAAATATGCCTTTTAAAAAAAAACGATTAACTTTACAACCAATAAATACAGTAAATATTAACATAAATACAATAAATAATACTAAATAAAAGGACTAGTGATGATATCAAATGTATGTAGGCCTATTCCTGACTTACTGCGTTTTGTACATTTGGTAACTAAAAATAAAATCAATATGATTTAATAACACCTTTATGATTTAAATAATGCTACGTTTATATTTTTTAAAAATTACATTTACAAATATAGCCTACTTTTAAACAACCATCAATGGAGAAAGATGCCTTTTGTCCACAGCATCTGGCAGCAGGGACTAACAGCTGGAGCCAACCATGAACCCTAAACTCTTGGTCAAAACGGCATTTGTGAGCAGAATTTTACTGTGATGAAAGTGAATAACAGAAATAGAGTATAATATATATTTCTAACTGCAACCTTGATTTCCCTAAATACAGTCAAGGTCAGGATTGTAAAATGTGTTCAAAATCAACCAGTATTACACTCTAAAAAATGCTGGGTTAAATACAGCCCAGTGCTGGGTAAAATAGGGACAAACCCAGCAATTGGGTTGTTTTGACCCAGCATTTTTTAGAGTGTAGTTTTTCCAAATTGACATGCAGGTGGTGCACAAGAAAAACCCCTATTATCCTGAACTGTCCCCAAAAAAAAACAAAAAAACATCTGCGCAATATAATGGGAGCATCACGCACAGTGCATAAACATTTCATCTGGTCGGAGGGAGGACTGTCTGTTTGTAAAGTCGTTCACAGGTGCTCATTTGGATTGAGGTCTGAGGCCTTATGTATACAACTTCCAGTAGTTTCCATAGTGATAGTTTGCCTACTCACAAAAATATATAAAGCCCTGCATAAAGCCCTAATGCCCTTCATTGCCTTCATTTGCATAGGTTTGTATGCTCGTCCATGAACTCTTGGATTCACTCCAGCACTTCCATTGAAGCAGCCATAAATGGTTGTTAAACTGCCTTCGGTTATTCATTGTAAGCACATGTATACTTCCGTGTTTCTCAATGAATTTGTTGGCAGAAACAAAACAAGTTCCAAAGAAGAAAAACAAACTCAAGTGACAAGTGTAAAACAGACAAATTGACAGTATAATCATATGAACCATATAATAATGCATCGTCAGGGTGGCAAAAAAAAGGTAAGAATGTAGTAAAACATACACAGACTTCAAAATAACCACATAAGTGAAGGTCAGTTTTTGCAAATTGACTTTATTACTTGTTTTGCACGTTCTGGTCTTATGGCTTTCACTGTAAGGTATTTTCATATTTTGAGTTGAGTGTCTCAGGGCAGATTAATGACAACACCGTTCTTGTGAAAACAAACCGATTGTCCTGGCAATATGTCCTTTTGTGCTGTCCAAACGTTTCATCAATCAAGACTTTTCTCAAGTTTTTCTGCATGTTCCTGTTGGCATTTTGTCCTGTAGTGTCATTCGTGGAGCGATACCAAAAGCAACCACGGACATTTGTCACAATACTCTTTCATTTGTCCTTTTAGCAGACCAAAACTGAGTCTAAAAAGCATCACAGATGAAACAGAATTAGAATATGATTAATACTCAATGTTTCAGTGTCTATTTCCTCATGATTATTCACAGGCGAGCTACAGCGCATCTTGAATCCATGTGTTACTGGATGCTGGATTAATGTCGTTACAATCTACGTGGAGCTACTTGAGTTTGCGAGGAATCTTGAGGAAAGGAACTACAGGGATGGAAGAGACATTTGACAGAGGTGATGGTGATAAGCAGAATTACAAATCCTTTGCAATGCTACATTTCTAGAAAAGTTATCTATTCTTGGAAAAAGTCTGGGTAAAAAAATTCATATATTTTCACTCAGATAGAGGGAAGCACATTTGTGTCATAAGAACAGCTATATAAAATGTAAAAAAAAATTTAAACTGGAGAAGTCTCTAAGGCTTTGTGCTTAACAGATATTCCTGCACAGATGCACACCATCCAAACTTAAAAAACGGTCACATAAGCGGCATATATACACACTACCGTTCATACTTTTGGGGTCAGGAACTTAAAGAAATTAATACTTTT